GGCCGTGCAGGTCTGAGACGCGCGCGGTCGCAACGCGGTGCCTTACGATATCGATTTAATCAGTGACCCAACCCAACAGAGTGCAACTTGGAGGAGTCTAATGACAAGCAACACAATAATTCCAAAAATGAGGCACGCAAAAATTAAAACATTATCGAACGTTGTGAACTAATCAATAGCAATCAATACCGCTCACCCTTTCGCCATTGTTTTGCTGATCAAACGATTGCTCCAGTTTCTCTAATTGTTTACTGCTCTCGTATAATAATCGCTTCTTTCTCAGAGTAGCATCCTTGGTGTCCTTTAATTTCCTGGTCTCTCGCTCCACGAACAAAGTGGCCTAAAATCAGTACTCAAGTAAGAAATTGTAAAAATGGGGAACTTTAGGAATTGGGTGCAAACGGAAATCGGAAGACGGAACATCTCGATCATTAGGTGTGGGCAGATAAAAATATACAAAGGATTTACACGTTCATATGCTCCTTGTCACCCGAACCGATTTTGTTTTCCCGAAAAGCAGTTCCGTGTTCCGACAATGTTGTTCCGGTTTCCGACCAAGTGTCCCAAGTTTCGACGAGTCTTTGCTATTTTTGCCACATTTTGGGCGGTATTCATGAATAGCAACGTTTTTATCACCGTTATCAGTCCCTTTCCGTATCCTACCTTATAACTACCTAACTTACTTTATCGATTATACGATTCGAATTAGCTGCAAATTAATCGATGACTTCAAACCGAACGTACCGCTCTGATAGTCTTCGCCTCAGTGAGCTGTATTGAGCGCAACGGTTGAATGACGTCATCGGTGAGGGCGGAGCCGAGATTACTAGAAAATCCTTTCATTTCCTCATTGACCGTTATCGATTTCTCCATCGGATTCTAATCAATAAATCAATCAATATTCTCTAAATACCTGTGAATCGTGGCCTGCACGTCGAACTGTTCGGCAACCGATGTCCACCCTTTGTCAATGTCACTGGAAAAAGTGGATATTGATCGATGACGTCATTACGAACTCTTCGTTCTTTACTAACACTTTTGGGGCTACCGAAAAAGCCCTAAAGCCCCTCTTCAATAGCCTATCATACCTTACGTTGAGATACTGTGGGAAATCCCTAAGAATCGAAGATTAGAGGTATTTCCGAACAAAAATGGCAAATTACCCAGCGCTGGTCAGCTTTCTAGGATGCGCCATGACTATGAATTCCTTCCAGATTTCAGAATGGAAAATAATTTTGGTGTTTTCACAAGTATTAGTCTGCAATACATTCCCCAGCTTTGTCTTCAATAGTGTGAAAATGTGTGAAGCATCGTATCGTTGTGGAATGTGCGATGAGCAACGACTCAGGTATTACACCAACTCAATAGGGAACGCTTTTTGGGGCTTTGTTTGTTCCCACACCTTAGCTACACCTCTTGGAAGCAACGCCCACCTCTCAGTCATGTGAGTGACTCGATGCAGATTTGCTGAGATCTTCTTCAGTGACTTCGAGTAGTGGAAGTCGAGGGCGGCTCTGCAATCACACGATTAGTATTTAGAATCCTAAACTATCGAGTTCTGAGGGCAGAAACACTAGGAAGGGCAAAACCTCCTGCAGAGGCGAAAAAACAAAAAAAGGCCTCGGAAATGATGACTCGCTGAAGAGTAGGGTTGGGGTGTTACTATCAATTGTGGGCTTACTATGGGTATAGTCGAAATGTACGGCTTTGCAAGAACCTCGGCATGATATATTGATGGCTGATATCTTCTGTAAGCTCTCCACGAGGTTGTTAAGCAGACTTTATTGGCTTACGTTTCGGCGGGGTCGCCTTCTTCAGAGCCTGAAAGGATCGAAGCAATTTATGACTACCCGACCAAACGCCTCCGCTATCCTACTGAAATTCTGGTATAGGAAAGGTGATAGCTAGGGTTGAAAAACACTATTAATTTTCGCATGCAACTCTAATTCAGAAAGGAACTGATACGCTTCCAACAGAGCGCCGGAAATGTGAAAACCCGCACTAAAAGCGAATTTACAAGTACCAAACAAATTCCTCGATTAAACAGAAGTTTTGAGAGTCACGTGTTGACAGAAGAACGATGACGAAAGTTCTTACTTTTCTTCAAACGCGGCGATAATCTCCCGGAGAGCGTCGTTGTTATGTTGGACCAGTTGTCGAAGCTGATCGAAATTTGACGGCGACTGAAAAGACACGTAGAAATTCAGCAAAGAGCTAGAAATTCAAAAATCAAAGAATTAAAAATAGAGAAAAATTTTTAAACAATGCCACTGCAGATTTACATTCGACAAGTTCTAGGCCGTATATTTGACTTAACACAGGAAATTGTAAAATAGTGGCTTATATGATAAGATTTATGAAAAACAAAACAAGTATAATAAAGAAGAAATAATAAAAAAGAAATAAAAAAATAAGGAAAACATAAGAGCCAGTTGGTTGTTTTATTTTTTCATTTGTTCCGCAAGAATGTAAAACTTAGAAATCTCTTTATCGCAAATAGCGCGGCGTATGCCAGCCTGTTTTTGCAAAAATTGAGCAGTTCTTATTTATATGGTTTCTCGAAGGACCAGTAATTAAATGAATAAATAAACAAAAATAGCAATATTTATGAAAATGAGAGGAGGCAGTGTAGTGACAATGTGTGGGCCGCTTATCACGGCGAGCGATGCTCCAGTGCCCGTCCGGAATGGGTATACAGGCCAAATTTGAAATGAAAGGAAACGCGCGGCGCATATCAAAAAGAGTTTAAGCTAAAGAGGATAATCCGACAATTATAAGAAGACCTCGAGTGAAACAGGCATCTTGTGGTGAGATTTTCGGATGTGATTTGGTAACATACATATATGAGAAATGTCGGGGAAAGAATTAGTTGCTGAGTTTGATGCTCTTTCTCTGCCAAAGAGGTTTACAGGTGAAAAATTTTGTCAACGGCTTGAAGTTTTTGAACAGATCTGTTGTGGTGACGGCCACTGAGGAAACGATCCGGATCCGAATGTCGGGCCGTTTCCTTAAAAATCTCAGCTGCAGGACGAAAGTATCAACGGTTTAGAACAGAAGAAGGGTGAAAGCTACGGTAAAATAATGTCCGGATCAATGAAAAATCCATTGAGCGAAGTAAATTACCACATAGGGCTGATTAATATTGGTTTGATGTCTTTTTAACTTTTCACGGAGGTTGATAAAGGGTTTATCATGGCTATCGCTTCCTCAGAGCATAGAAGGGTCGAAACATTCTTGACTACGAACAATATGTCTATTAACTAAACGCTACTGGTTGCGAGCTCAAAGAATCAGCTGATCCAAAGGTCGGCCCGCTACTTTTCTAGATTACGCCACCTATCTCAAACTTACGTACGTTTGGCTAAGTACATTTGATCGGTAGTCATACTGTTCGACCCTTTCAGGTTCTGAAGAAGGCGATTCCCGCCGAAACGTTAGCCAGATGAAACCCTTTTACCAACCTCGTGAAGATCTAACAAGACATCAACCAACACCATCATGCCGAGGTTCATCCAAAGCCGTACATATAGCTAATAATAGTGCAACCATTGATCATTACGGACGACTTTCCGCGTTTCTTAGCAAATCTAATTCATTAGAGCACCCATTCCGTCCGGAATTCAGTTATTTCGGTTATGTTTTAACAATATATTGTATTGACCCCTAAGGTGTGGAAGGGCTATTAGACCTGAGCAGGATCTCGGATTCGGGAAATCGACACAGACAAATTTGCGCGTAGCGTAGAAAAAACTTGTCACTAGCACTGCCACTTCACCTCTCTTTTTCTGGAATTTTTGAAAAAGAGCAAGACTAGACCACTTCACAAGTCCTTAGTGCCGCCATCTTCAACGATGAGATTTATAGAAGTTTTAACACTCCACGGTGCTTCTACAAACGTGCAGCCCCTTCTCAGACGCGACTCAGCCGGACTTCGGGTAGCGATTTCCGGCATCAAACATTTGTGGCGCTTATTATTTGTCCACATGTACAACACATCCGGCTGGCTCGTCGTCAGCCGGCTTGAGTGTTCAGATAACAGCGGACGAGTTTACAGCTCAAGTTGTTTGCTCCCACATAATGCACTTCTGATAAAAAGTGGGTGCGTGCCGCCGCATCTATAGAAAAACGCCTCGAAACATCAAAGTTCGGAACATTACGAATTTCAAAAAAAATTTAAAAGGGAAACACTTTTAATGGATCAATAGAATAGCAGATGGCTGCATGTAGAGCACAGGAATCCTTAGAAAAAAAAAACAAATAACCTTGAAAATCAGGAGAATATGAACAAAAGCGTGATCGCTTTCAAAACATAAAATAGGATATTTTTATATGATATCATCAGTTATCATTAGTTATTCACTATTAAGATATTGATATAAATTTGTTTCCTTGGATGCATTTATATATAAATCAGTTTTCTAACACCTCAAACTTTATATTCTGAAAAAACCCGCTCAGACTTCGTATTCAGGGGTTACTACCTGCAAGAATGGCGCCAGAAATCAACAGCTTATTTTTGATGCTTAAGGAAGCAATCGCTATGAAGATTTCTGAAGAAAAAAAAGCTTTTTTGGGTAGCACATATTTTAATAAGGTCCTTT